CATTTGTTAAGTAACATCATTCCTTAAATATAAAAGCAATCTTACAGGAATATGCAATAGTGTCTCACACAGAAATGACTCCAAAGCTCTCCTTGAAAGGTTGCCCCTTCTGGATTTCATGACCTCTCTTAAGGGTAAGAAGACACCACCAAAGAAGCCTCTGACCACAGGATCATTTGATCATTACTAACTGTACAGGAATATTTACAACAGTAAGACGGTGAAGTTGTGGAGTCTAGAGAGGAAGGGGCAGAAATGTGCAGAGGTGTGGGGAATGGTGACAGTGGAGGCACTGCCCATCTTCCCATAACTCTCTGAAACAGGCACGATGCAGATTGGTCTAGGGGCATGAAGGTGGGTCTGAGCAGGAGGACATGAAGAGAGGAGGGATGGTGGAATTTTATCTGGAGGCTTTCACACGGAGGGAAGTTTTGTATGGTAGCTCTGGTGTATTAAAATAAAACATCAATTGTATGAGCATAATAGACATTCTAGTTCTTCACCAGCTGGGGATCTGTCACCTTATTTCCTAATGAACTCATGTGTTTTTCCACAGATTGTTTTCACCTGCTACCATTACAGACTGGTCCAGACCTCCTTATCCTTTTGTTTCCCACAGCCTATTTCAGTGCAAGTCCTCATTTCTATGAGACTCTGGGAGAACAGCATGCATTCTGGGCAGGGTTGGACACAGTGATGGGACGGAATGTGGTCTGACTGGGAAGTCAAGGGATGAATTCCAGATTTGAGGATGGATTACAGCTGGACGCATTGATGGCTTAAGGCCAGAAAGTAGAAGGTGCTCTCTGTGTTTTGGTCACAGGGGATGCCTTCTAAAGGAGCCCTCTGCACAGGACTGTGTTAACAAATCATCTGCCCTTGATGCTCAAGTTTGTTCCTCCAGCCTAGAAACTTTTGAACATTGGTGTAATTTCTCCATGTTGGGAAGGCTTAGGGGTCGGGAACTTGGCAAAGGACCCAGTTACTCATCCTCTTTTATGCCCCTTGGGATTCTACAGAAAAGCATTCTCTGCTCTTTTCTCCTGGCTAAGGGCTCAGGAGAATTTCCTCAAGGGGGCCTGAAATCTGCACTCTCCAGTTCCTTGGCAGGCAAACAACGGCTTACCCTACTGCCTGCTTACCTCTTTTTCCTTTTCCCCTTGGTAATACATTTGAGGGATCTAAGAATGCCAGAACAGGAATTCTCCAGGCCCAGTAAGTAAGAACCATTCTGTCAATTTCTGCATTTTTTGATGTAGAAATCATACCCTTTTAACATCTACAACCTCTTCCACAGGAGCTTTCTCTGATAATGACCTTGGTTCAAGCAGCATGAGTGATTTTTAGATGGTGTATGTTCAGTCAATGTATGATTTATGCCAGGAGAAGTGGGATAGTACCCTTTTTGGAAGGGCTGCAAAGTCAAATTACTTACATTCTCAAAATGGGGACGCATGAGAGGACCCACAAAGCGGAGGTTCACCTATGAATCAGCCCGTAGCTGATCTAACAGCTCTGGTTACATAACATTCTGGTTACATAACGTTTAAAGCTTTTGGTTACAAAACATTTCGAGCTTTTGTTTAATTACTTAGTCTTTGTTTTGTCTTCCTTATTGTTAGTAGAGACATAAGAGAATTTCCATGGAAAATTCCAACTCGGACTCTACTCAGTGTTGAACTGATTTGTTATTCTTAATATATTTATTCAGCTGCAATCCCTAGTGTCCTTCCAGAGGCTGATTAAAAGGCTCTTCTAATATACCAGGAAGACTAAGGGTCTTTACCACTTCATGTGCTGTTACTCAAATTTCTTAAAGTCATCTGAGGAGAAGTTAATGATTTTAGGAGGAGGAGTATTTTTTCAATGTAGATAAATGATATTTATTTCATAATAATAAATGATTCTGATGGCACTATTTCCACCCACGGAAGTCGTTCTGGTTCTGTCTTCATGTCTGTCTACACAATGATCGCCCTTCTGGGAGGAGGAAAATTCCCTTATGTAGAGCTCAACCCCAGCTCTTGAACCTTAAGGGTGTGTGTATTCTGAGGTGTTCAAGCATCTCCCCAATAATGTGGAGATGTAGCAGAAACCCATTTACCTGATATAATGATATCGGACTCCACAAAGCAACATTTCATTGCTTTGAAATAAAAAAATTAATTAAAATAAAACCATAGGTGGATTCACAAAGAAACTGTGTAAGCATTTGTAAATATAGTAATAAATATATTATAATTTTTGAATTATAAGTAATGTATTAAACCACTATTTCTAGTTTCATTAACTTTATACTACCCACAATATTAAGTAAGAAAATTGCTGACTCTCAACTTCTCACTACCTGTTCTCTTGTTTCTCTTCTCCATATCTGTCTGCTATGCCATTATTTCTACCCTCATGAGATAGTACAAGTGCTCAGAATAAGAACTAAACTCCCAGGCTTCACGTATACCAACAACAGAGGTCATGAGGGATCCCAAAGCACTCCAACACCCACTTTCTCTGACCTGCTTTCTCCCACTAAGAAGTGTCAAAGGAGAATCCTGTGCTTTCAGAGTAAAATGCCATCTCCTCCATGAGGGGATAAAAGTGAGACCAAGGTACTAAGTCCATAGGCACGTCTCTCTGGGCCTATGATGCTCCATTGAGGGTGTTCAAGTGGTGAATTGTCCACAAAGTAAGACAGCTTTCTCAGATCACCTCAAATCTATCAATAGGGATAATGAATGAGCCTCAGGAGCTTGAGTAAGTTTTGCTTATTCAGTTTTCTTCCATGACAAGAGGTCACCAGGGAGCCCAGTCACCACCTCGCCTAATTTTGACACTCACAGTTTCACCAACACTGTCTGCCTTGAATCCATAAGAACTAACCTCATTATGTGCTCTGCTCCCATTTATGTCAGTCACATAAATAGCCAGAATTCCACGCTATCTCTCATTCCCCTTCTTCTAATTTCCATAAGTCTAGCTTCCATATACCTCCTATTCGCTTCTTTTTATCTCAGATTCCAGTTCAGAAATGAGCATTCTCTTCATCATCGCACACTCAGCAAAATCTGATTCCCCCAAAACCTTCTCATGCAGTGGCTGTTTACTTTTTCTTACTGCTCTGTGAATATAGGTAAGTCTTTTCTCCTTGTTTTAGGTTCCCGGTCATTCTTCTCACTTCCTCATACTACAAAGGAAATGGCTCCAAATTTCATGTCATCAGATCTTAACACGATATCTCACTGCTGCAGTCATACCTACATCAAAGTTAAACTCCCCCTTTCCAATGATTTTAGTTCCTCTCTCTTGTTTCAAGGCCAGTCTCAGCTTGAACCTTGGTTATTTTTAATATGCCCTGAGTTGAAGTCTCAAACTTCATGAAACTGAAACTTAACTTTTCATCCTTCCCCTTAAACCTGTTCTATACAGCCTTTCTCTTCTCAGTCGCTTTATTTTTTCATGTGATGCATCCGATCATTTGGGAAATCGTATTAACCTGTAAAACATCTGTACGAAGTCCTTCAGTTAACTGGCCTGCTTTCTGTCCAGCTGCCAACTCACACTCTGAACTGGCAACTCAGTTTCACACTTCCATTCCAGGCTCCTTCTACGTGTATTCTGTATTTCAGCTTCCTCCACTCTGTTGTATCCCTGCAGACACTCCCCGTTTATAGCACACATACATAACCATAATGTATGGACACCCACTTCTCCCACCCTTCCTTACTCCATTATCTTCATCCATTAGGGATTTATGTCATTCTTAAATATTGAGTGTCATTTCAACAGGAAGGAGAATAAGGAGTAGACAAATAGGTGTTTATCTGTTCATTCTACCCTCTTTTACCAGAAGCCTATATTAATCAGTAAGTCTTCTTCTATATCTAAAATCCTTCCATTTTTAATTTTATCCATAATTTACAAAATAATAATATAAGTAGATTTAGCTTTTAATATGCACCTTAGCCTTTATTAAACTCTGTTGCATAACAGAAGCTATTGTCTAAGATTATTTTTGGAAAATTAGTGTTTGTGTTCTACCTTAGGACACAATGGGTGGTATAAACATTGGTCGAAAGAGTCCTGAGTCTCAGAAAGTGGCTCTTTGACAATATCTGACATTACAAACAGACTTGAAGAGCTGGAGTTTTTATAATATTGTCCTTTCATCCTTTGATTCAGACACTTGCTTTTAAGAAAGACTTTAGTCACCAGATTTGAATTGCTGAAAAAAAAAAATCCAACAATCTTTGCCTCATGATTTTTTAATAACCTACTTAAGTTTGTCAGTACGCTGTACAAATTGATCAAACGTATGAGTAACAAAGACGAGAAAAAATTGAAAGCAGGAAGGTATATTTATGACTAATCTATTATATAGGAGTCATGCCTAGAATAAACAGAAGAATTAAAGAACGATTCCTAAATAGAGTAAGATGTAGGCTTCTCTCACATGGAAGTGACAAACTTGAATAAAATACTTAAATCTTCACATAACAGAATGAGAATTTAGGCCTCTGAATGATTCCAATATCAAAGCACAAATTCAATGGAATTAAATAGGTTTTCATAACAGAAAATTTTTAGAACTATTAGTAGAAGGAGATGTAGGAAGTACACCCTTACCTTGATGAATTAAGAGAAATTGCTGTTTCAACATAAAAATAAAGCTGGCTCTAAGAATCTTCTTTAGGGGGCCATTATAGATAACCCTCCTAGGAAAACTTAAGTGTTATTGATATCTTAGAAATATCATTAGTGAACATTTTATTATTTTGAGTTAAGAATTTTTTTTTCAGGTTCTTAAAGACAAGAAAAAGTTATCTATAGTACCTCTGTTGATTTTTAAAATAATTAAGTTGTACAGCACGTTCTCCAATTCTGAAAAAAGTAATATAATAGGGCAATTACAATTTAGTTTTCAATTCATCATCATTCAAAACCGTGGACTTTTGGTACACATCTTTGCACTCATTTTTCTTCCCTTTGACTTTTGTCTCTATCAGCTCGGTTCCTGAAGAGGCATTTTCACCAGGTAGATGATACTTCCTCAAAAGAATTAGGATGATTAAGGCTGGAACAAAGCTTGATCCTCTTAATGCTGCCGGCAATCCAAGGTAGATGTATCTATTTTTTTAAAGTTAAAACATATTAAATATTACATAGACAGTGTGGTTAGTGCAAACTAAATTTGTATATCTTTATATTTTATTATGATAAAAACAGCAGCTGATAGTTTTGCATGCTGATCTTATATAAGCAACTTTACTAAACTCTCTTATTAATTTCAGTATTTGTTAAAATGTTTATGTTGGCAGGGCGCAATGGCTCACGCCTGTAATCTCAGCACTTTGGGAGGCCGAGGCGGTTGGATCACGAGGTCAGGGAGATCGAAACCATCCTGGTTAACACGGTGAAACCCCGTCTCTACTAAAAATACAAAAAATTAGCCAGGCGCGGTGGCGGGCGCCTGTAGTCCCAGCTACTCGGGAGGCTGAGGCAGGAGAATGGCTTGAACCCGGGAGGCGGAGCTTGCAGTGAGCTGAGATTGCGCAACTGCACTCCAGCCTGGGCGACAAGAGACAGACTCCGTCTCAAAAAAAAAAAAAAAATGTTTTATGTATTTTAAAAAATTTCCTATTGAGAAAATCCAAATTTATTTTCATCTTTTCTAATGTTTTGTTTTTGTTGTTATAACTAGCTTTTCATTGAATAGGATCTTCACCTCAAAATTAATACTGATAGTGATAGCAGTGAATAGTATTTAGTAAGAATGCTTCCAAAGAATCATCATGAATTAAAATATATACTCTTGTGAGAGTTTCTTTAGATGACCTTGATCAGATCAAGGAAGTTATTTTCTATCATGAGCTAGCTCAAAGTTTTAATCATGAATGTGCATAATATAACCAAATAACTTTTCTGCTTGTAGTCGGAAGAGTATCCAAGGTTTTCTATCTTTATTGTATTAATTAGTGTCTATTACACCAATAGATTTTCTGATGTCGACCTATCCTTGCATGCTTAAAATAAACTGTATTTGTAATTTTTACACATTATTAGATTCAATTTATCAATTTTTATGTAAAATTTTTGCATGTATAAGATTAGCCTACAATTTTTTTTCTTGTACTGAATTTGTCCAGCGTGATTATTGAGATTGTACTAGCTTTGTGAAATGAATTACAAAATTTTCCCTTTTTCTGATTCTGAGAATAACTTACATAATTTACGAATGAATCATCAGTTCATTGTCGGTTTTATCAGACTCTCTTGAAAAACATCTGAACTTGGTGCCTTTGGGAGATGAGCATTTTTGAAGGATTTACATTTTTAAGTAACTATAAAAATATTCATGTTTCTATAGATTTATAATAATATCTAGTAATATATAATTGTCTAGAAAAATATCTATTTAATATGTTTCTAAACTAAACATTATATCTAAAATCCCTATGTAAGTATTACAATATCTGTACTTATATTACCTTTTTCATCCTTAATGATGTTTTATTTGTGCCTCCTCTCTTTCTTTATTTGCCGTTCCACAGTATTGTTATTAGTAATACCTTTGCAACTTTACAAAAACATAGCTCTTTACTTTGTGATTCCCTCTATGGTATATAGTCTATTTATTAATTTCTGCTTCTCATTTTTATATTTCTACTTCTAAAATTGGCTTTTATTATGAAACATTACTAGGATTCAGAAAAAAATGGACACCAGTGATTGGATTTAAGGTCTACTGCAATCCAGTATAACCTCATTTTAACTTAACTAATTCCACTCGTAAATGCTCTATTTGCAAATAAGTTCACATTGTGAAGTTCTGAGTGAACATCAAATTTTGAGGAACACTAAACCCTGTACAAGGTGTTTTGCCTCATTAATTGGATTAAAGCATTGAATCTGGATTTAGTCTCTTGACTTAGAAATACCTTATTCTTCTTTTGGAAGCTGATACCAGAAACCACTGCCCATTTTGAGACATAGAGCCTGTGAATTCAGCTTTGTTTATTCCTTTATGTTTCTGTTTAATTTCTGAAACATCAGATGTTTAGGATGATGTTTTCCTTGTCTTTTAACCAAGATATGTCTCTTTTGAATTTTAAAAATATATTGTATCATTTATTCTTGTTTGAGATAGGAAATATATCAATATGTAAATTATTGAGGCATTTATCAGGTCGTTCTACATCATTTGTATATATTTTATTGTCCTTTTTCTAAATTCTAAGTTCATTAATTTTCAGCCTTTTACACGTAAATGTGTATATGTATATATTTACATACAGATTGTATTTTATACATATGTGTATATAAACATATATACTTATGTGTATATATGTGAATATGTATTTCATATGTATATTTATATATGTAAACATCTATATATGTAAATATACGTTATTTATATACATATGTAAATAAACATGTATATATGTACTTATATGTATGTATTAATATACATATTTATATACATATAGTTGTACATATGCAAACATACACATATGTGTATATATATTTATACATTTAAAGCTCTAAAAATCCCTTTGATTACTGGTTAGTTTGGCTTCATCCCACAAGTTTTCTTATTCAGTGCTTTCATTGACATAGAGTTCTAATTATTTAATTATGTTTATTGTAATTTATTCTTTTAACCATGAGTAATTTAAGATTGCATTTTTTTACTACTTTTCAAACATTTGAGGTTTGGGCATCTTTTATTATAGGCTTTCATCTCCATTGCATTGTGAACAGAAAACAGGATTTATGTGGTATCAATACTTTTTTTTAACTTTTTAGTGGCATAGGTGCTGGTATTTGGGTTAACAATTATCCATGTATTCATGTAGATATAGATACAGATGTATTATAGATTCATATAGATTATATATATTCATTTACATTTATCTGTATATTCGATTACTCTTGTACAATTTGAAGTTGAAATATACTGTATCCTCACTCATTTTCATCTGTGTTTAATATTCATTTGTGGCACAAGTATATCAAAAGTTTCCATTCTGTAGAATTCTTCTTATAATTTTATAAGTTTTTGTTTTGCATATTTGAGGTTATGTTGATAGATTTACATAGGTTCATAATTTTTCTATATTTTTGTCGTGTTTTCCTTTTATTATTAAGTAATATCCCTGTTTAATCCTATTAATTTTTTCCCTTTAACTTATACTGTGTTTAAATCATTAATATAACTACAGAAGTTGATTTAGTATGTGTCTGGTATCTTTTTAAAACCTTATCTTCAATCATTTTATATTTTTGATCTGTCTCTTATAAACAACATGTAGTTCAAATTTTGAAAAGTCCAGTATAAAAATTGCTATCTTTTAACAAGCAAGTGTAACCAATTTGCAAAATCACTCAGGCTTGTTTTTTAACTTATTTGTGTGGAGTTTTTTCTTAAGAATTACCACTATTGCATTTTCTCCCCTTCTATTGGTTGAAATAAATCAAATTAATCATTTTTACCTTTTCTGCAAAATTTAAAGGTAATCAGAAGTTTGTTATCAAGAATTGTAAAAGAGTCTAAGATTTTACTTCATTTGTAAGTTAACAGGCTAGCCTGCCACAGTTTCAAGGATGCTAACAGAAGATACAAGACTCGTAGGTCGGGGACAAAGGACTTTTTTTCATTCGCAACACAGCAGTCAGCGCAAACTTCATTTTCAGGTTGGTTTTCCTTACCCTCCATGTCCCAAAGTGGTGAGACAGAGGGAGAACCAGGTAAACGTTGTACACACAGTGGATTTGGGCCGCAGTTAGAAAGTCCTGAATTTAGGAAACCCCAATCTTTTAAATGGGCTTCAAAAAAATCTGCCCAAACTTTGCCCCAGAGGGAGACATTTTCTTATCATCATGAACAACAAACTACCTGCCCTCTGTCCTTGAGAGAGACACTATTTATATCTTCTAAGGTCATTTACTGTTCCAACATCCTTGAAAATATAGTCCAGAAAAAATGCTGTCAGTGCCCCTGCTAACAAGAAAAGCAGAAATGTAATGTAGGGGTCCATGGAGAATTGTCTACCAACAATATTTACCCTTATTTCCAGAATATCTTGGCTTCTGGTAGATTTTCTCATGGATACACCATTTCATTGACCAGTCTAATTGGTCTGACTAACAGAGAATGGAGCCAAGTCTGTTTAATGTGTCTCAAGCACCATTTGATTCAGGATACTATCAACAAGAATCCAAGCAGCAGGATGAGACCAACCCTCAATAGCGATCCTTGGAGTTCCTCAACTGTGGTAGAAATCTGCATACATAGCATGTAGCTGAGCTTCCCTCAGCATCACTCCTGGGGAGCTCTGGGGGAAACGGGAATGGATGCAGAGATGAATCTCCTGCTCTCTGCTCTCCCCATATTTCTTGATATATGTCCTTTTGCTGATCAAGACAAATATCTTAGAATGCTATAAACAATGGTAAATTGTTTTATACTGAATAAAGTAGCTTTATTATTGCCCCCATCAAGAGAAGTTAATTCAAATTTAAACAAAACTCAAATTTCCTAATGAAAAAGAAGATAAAAATAGAAAGAACAAAGAGTTTTATTCAAAATTAGACTTGTATTTACCAAGGAGAAGGCATTAGGAGACATGAAGAAGATTGTTTCAGCAAAATTTAAAGAGGGAGAAAAGATATGATTTTGGAGACCAGAGACGTGGTGAGAGGAAGTGAGGCTTCAGACTCGTGACATGATGAAATCATGCAGGATAAAACAAAGAGCCTTTAGAGATCAATATAAATTTGATAGGCATCCATGGTATATATACAACCATTACCTTCAATATTGTGTTGACTCTAAGAATTTAACAAACAACACTTTGAAAGCCAAGGTTAGGGAAGCCATGTATGCTTATATTTACCAAGCACTTGAGAAATAATGGGAAAATACAATTCTAGTATGCAAATAAGGAATGGAGATATAACATCAGTATCTCTTCTGGAAATAAACACAAAAGTATTCTTTTCACTTGGCAAAAAAAAAGTTAGGTATGAATGGTGCTGTGTTATGCATAGTCTATGCTTATAAAACAAT